GTTATAAGGAGAGGCTTGTAATGCGACGCTGGGGCAATGAATGAAAAAGTCTCTGAATGTATGAAACAGTCAGTTGTAGTTGTATAGGTTACAATATAATATGTTACAAATTTGTTTCTTTTTTACTTATGTTTGTTAGAATTTTTTTTTTTTTAATTTAACGTTAATATTTTTAATGGTTATTGGCAAGTAGCGTTGGACGTGTGCTCATTTATTGTCGCGGTGGTAAAGCCACGCTGTATATATGCGGTTAATGTGATGCGATTAATGCTAATCACATCCGCGACAGCCACGTGGATGATACGTTGCGTTAACCCTCTCGACACCAGATGGAATGCAAAACCATGAGTACTTCTATCCCACACGGATCTTAAATTAAGCCGTGTTAAGTACACCTTATGAAAATTATGTTGGAGCTGTATTTTGTTTCCATTTTCCTACATATTTAAACAAGATCATGCGCTGAATAAATTGAGGTTGAAAAATAAACCAGCGGACGAATCTCCGTTCCTTTTTAGCCATGTTTAGATACTAATTACGTTCTCACGCTTCACTAATTAAATAGCATACTGTTCGGCATAGAAAGTTTCCATAGTCTCCAAGTGTTAAGACATAACGCATTGTATAACCACTCGAATCTATCAATTTGTATAAAACATCATGTTTCTCTCGTCTATCCTTCTGAGTGCTTAATCTTGAGGAATTGGTCTAGCTTGCATGTTTTTTTTCTTATAACAAAAAGCTTAACCTCTTTCACTCAGGCGGAGCCTCGGGCGATGTTTCTATTCATTTTACTTTTACATCAAACCGAATTTTTTATGAACGTTTATATCTAAAAGTGAATCATATTATTCTCGACATAAAAGTAAACTCAGTTCTGTTTTTCCATAAATCTTATAAGTTGAAAGCTTGGGTCACAACGTTAAAATTTGAACGACCTCGAGTGGCGACAAGATAAGTCATATCGGACTGCTTGTACGTCGCGTAATATTAATAAAGGGCGCCCTTCAACTTTTTACGCAATAAATTGAAAATTCGCAAACCGATGCAAAAAATATTAATTCGTATTAGCTTAACATCAAATAATTTTTACAATCTTTTCGTTCGTCTTTTAAATTAAATTTATAACTTATAGAAGGAGTACAAATCATGGGTGATTGGTATTCCTAAACATTTTTTTATGTGAGAAAGTGGCCGCCCATAGACATTTGCAAAACCCGTAGGGTCGCAGATGCGTTGCCGCCTTTCAATAAAGTGGGCCCCAGCTACCTCACTCACTCGACGAAACGGAGAAGTGTAACAGTTCTACTTTACGCCAGTCTTCTGTGAGATCGTGGTAATAACCCGGGCGGACCTGTCCATTCATGCAAAAAGCGAACACTATTGCGTGGCCCTACCACCGTAAATCATGACATTTTTGATTAATTTTGATCACATTTATGATTTTTTTAACTACAATTTTTAGATGATCAAAACCAAATAAAAGCGGATTTACGGAAATTCAGTCAATACAGAAAAATTTATGAACAATTATAATAACTGAAAGATTATCTTTAAAAGCAAGATTCATTATGCCAACATATCATAGTAAAACAAAACGAAACAGTTCAATCAGCTTTCAAATAAAGTAATGGAAGATATCATTTCATCCAACAATAGCCGTGCTTACTCGATATCCAACGATATTTTTCTTTTAAAATACCCTTAAACTATTCGAATTTCAGTTAATGGATAAAATCTCACTTGAAATAACGACATAACCATAATTTCTATTCGAATTACAAAATTTTTAGTTGGTTTTATCGATCAAACCGTTCATTATAAGGATGAACTAGTTTTTTACATACGCATACTAATCAAGTAACTGATAGTTAACTAAAATAGGAAACAAAATTATCAACGTTCATAATAAACTAAAGATTCTTTAGTTAAAACAGTTTAACCGATCTCAGTCCATGGTCATGGGAAAGACTAACCATGGACTCATGCAAGAGTTCAAAACGTGGGGTATTAAAAGGAAACTAATAGCGATAAAGCCAACAATATAGTTTTATTAAACAATGTGATTCTCATAGATACACCAAACCATAACATAACATATCCATATTTCAATCAGATTGCTCAAGCAATGATAATATACATTTCCTTTTGAATAAATGAGCGTCAAATACAATCATAAAAATAACAAAAGTCGACATACATTTAATATCCTACCGCCAAAATCCTACCGCATTCTTCATTTTATTATAATAGATGTTCCTAATGGTAAAAATATCAATAATGACCTATATTTCTTCAAAATGACCCTTAAAATACCATTATTTCAATAATTTATCTTTAGCAACAGATATAGAATATTAATGGTGTCATATTTTAAAGGAACGACTAAAAGAAGGAAACGGAAATCATTATTTAATGCAAAATATCGACAAATCCATCATGACTCCGAATTAATCTTTAAAGTCTTATTATACATGAATTTAGATATTACGTAGACTATAATGAAACAGAATCCTATCATTAATAACGTTATATTCTTGGTTTGTGGAGACAACAATGAGTTTTTATTGGTTTTACTGGGCTGTACTGTTATTTTGTTATAAAATTACAGAACTTAAGAAATATTTATTTATTTATTTACGTACATTCGTAGATTCGTAAGTACATTCATAGATTTTATCTATTTTCACTCTTCCTGTTATATTATATGTTCTTTATTACTTATAATATGTACACATTTTCTACCCCCCCGTTCATTTAGTTTCCCGGGTGCTTGAGTGAGAGACTGTATCGAATGCTTTTTTGTAGTCTATGATTATAGATTGCTCTCTGTCGTTCTTGATATTTTTCAATGACTAGTTCCAGGGTATGTATAAGGTCTATGGTTGAGAAACCTGTTCTAAAACCTGCTTGTTCCTTTGGTTGTTTCACCATTAATATACTCAATGCTTATTTTTTGTTGATAAGTGAAGAAAATAATATGTACAAGCATGGTAATACACTTATTGGCCTATATCGTATGTCCTTTTTTGTATATTAATATAATATTTGACTTTGACCATTGAGTAGGTGTTAGGTAAAAATAACAAATCCCCGGGAATGGACAATATCCAAGGTGAGCTTATAAAATATGCTGGAACTGATTTTGAGAAAGAATTCATTACGTGATTCTTCAGATTTGGAACAATGAAATGCCTGATGACTGGAATACGTCTGTTATCTGCCCCCTACAAAAAAAGGCGATATATTGGAGTGCAAAAATTACTGAGGCATATCTCTTGAACAGCGGTTATTGCTAATATACTTTTCAATAAATTAAAGCCATAATATGTAGAATCCAGCTTGGGAAAGTATCAGTGTGGGTTTCGGCCAAACAGGTTCACAATAGACGAAATCTTCTCAATCTTTGAAAAAACGTACGAGTTCAACGTCAATACCCCACCATCTTTTTGTTGACTTTTAAGCTGCATATGACAATGTGCACAGAAATTTCTTGTACTAGGCTATGATAGAGATTGGGATCCCAACAAAGCTCGTGGGCCTAACAGAGATGACTCTAAGAAACTCTCGGAGCGTTGTAAGGGTTCAAACGGAGTTATCAGAACCCTTCAGAACGACGGCTTAAGACAATGAGATGCACTCTCTTGTCTACTATTCAATATCGCTCTCGAAAAATGTATCCGTGACTCAAAAATCGAGACCAAAGGGACTATCTACCAGAAATCTGTCCAAATTTTGGGTTATGCAGATGACCTCGACGTGATAGGTCGATCCCTGCCTGCAATAGAAAGTAGTAGTCTACGACAAGGAATCAACATTGGCAATAACACCTTCTCTACCGTTAATGAATTTGTATACCTTGGGTCCTTAGTAACTATTAAGAACGATATATCTTCGGATATAAGCAGGAGAATAATGGCCGCTAACAAGGGCTACTTCGGCCTGCTAAGATATTTTCGCTCGAAACTTCTTTCAAGAAACATTAAGCTTCTACTGTGCAAAACCTTACTAAGGCCATTTCACTTAAGGCCCATACTTACCTACGGTTCTGAATGCTGGGTACTGAGCAAAAAAGAAAAATACAAAAAAGTAAAAACTTAGGCATATCTTTGGAGCTCTGATGGAAGATGAGAGATGACGAACGCGTTGCCGGCCGGAGGGCCGCAAGAGTATAGGCAGGCCCAAGCTCAGGTGGTTGGATGGCGTCGAACAGGATACCAAGATGTTGGCGGTTATAGGCTGGAGAAACAAAGCCATGAATAGATCGGACTGGAGAGGTTTGCTTGACTAAGCTAAGGCCACCCGCGGCTGTATTGCCGATGTATTGATGATGATTGAGTAGGTGTTACAATAGTTTCCAGTATGCGGTTAAACAGAAGAGTTAGTGGTAGTAGAGCTAAAAGAGTATTGGCAGTTTTTATAGTTTCATTTTTAATATTGTCTGATCTTGGAATTTTGTCTATTATACATATATCCTTAAGATTAAAGATAACTTCCTCACCTTAGAGTGAACCAAAACGTACAGCAAAGAAGTTAGAAAAAATTCCTTTTTTATCGTTATCTCTTACCTACCTCAAGTTATTACTCCTTGATCTTTTTGCGAGAACTTGTAAATGGCTATATAAATAATAATATAAATCTCTTTTCTATTTATTTATATATTAATGGTTGTATGTTAGCTGTAAGTTTTCCATACATAAATAAAATAAAATAAAAAATAAAATTCTCCAACATCGGATTTTCCTTCCGAGTGCAATGTGAATGACTTCAAGGCATAAGTAAAAAGATACTAGAGATAGTAAAGATCATTACTTTATAGCATCGCTAGAACCAGACAGTTAATAAAGAACACAATGTATGGTAAAGCACGTACGCCAAAGATAAAAAGAATAGTTCTCATCATGTATTTCTCACAATATAAAATGTATTTGTGTAAACAAAAACTCTTATCAACACAATATTTAAGTATTCAACTTCGAAAACTCAACTTACTGTTTCAGAGTCGTCAGGAGTACCGCGGGGCCTTTTTGAACTACTGCAACAACCAGAATTCGGCAGCCCTCGCCGCGTACTATGACTCTCATAACAACTACGTGCAGCAACTTACTGCTACCAACGCAATGATCGAACAGTACCACAAGCACACACTTCCAACCATACTCCAGGCAAGTAAAGCAATTTCGACTAAATATCTCGAAACTAGTTTATAAAATAAGAGTTACGGTGGTAGGGCCACGCAACAGTGTTTGCTGTAGCACGAATGGGCAGGTCCGTCCAGGTTAATACCACGACCTCACAGAAGACCGACGTAAAGTAGAAGTGTTGCACTTCTGCGTTTCGTCTGGTGAGTGCCCCCATTATTAAGAGGTGGCAACGCTTCTGCAATCCTACGGGTGTTGCAAATGTCCATGGGCAGGCGGTTATCACTTAACATTAGGTGAACCGCCAGCTCGTTTGCCACTTTCTCACATAAAAAAAAATAATAATTTTACTTATAAAACTTTTTCTGTCATTCATTATTACGTTTGACTCGTAACTTCAATAATATATTTTGTATTCCTTTAAGCAGTTCAATGGGTGTATATGTGACTTGCAGCAGGTTGTTCAATCAATGTAATCTAATCTACTAATGAATAATAAATATAACATTTCAACGCAGAAAAAACAGCAAATACATTTTTTTCTCGTTATATCTGTCAGAGGACAATAAATTATTTAAAAGCTATATTTGCAGTTGATAACTTTTCTTTCTAAAAGCTTCCAGGCGCAGAATCGAAGTACGATGCAATAGGGAATTCAGAGAATGAATGATATTTCTGTTCTGTAACGTTTATCTTGGTCCTTGTCGTATTTTATTCAACTTTAATAAAAACTTAATTTCAATTTCATATTTTTGTTTGTTTTTATGCCATTGTATTTTAATAAACGACAACGATATTTTATCCTATGAGTAGCATTGCTATAGTTGACAAATTAGGAATTATTCGAAACCACTTTATTTATCGTTACCGTTGGTTATTATTAAAGACACAATTTATTCTTTCTCTGTAAAGTTACAAGTCACCGTTTTACTATTAAAATAATAGCCACATTTAATTATTCCCTTTTGTAATAATTTCCCCTTAATCACTTAAGCGTGCGAAATCCATTTGAATCGTTTTTACTAATTATAGTCGACCAAGGATGTTTTATACAAATTTCGATTATTTAAGTCTTACTAAGCAGGATAACGTAAAGCCCGGTTGGTGTTCAATCTTAGTTAGGAAACTCCAATGAGTTGCAGAGTTTTACAGTCGTACGATCAACTTTACTGCGCAGGTGGCTTTCTAAACTGAATTCGTTTGTAATTGATTAGGTATACCCAACCAAAATTTAAGGTATGTCTTACTAATTATCATTTATATTCAAATCAAATATACAAAGCAAGGTCTACAATAAGTTTGAATATGCGAGTTTTGTAATTATATGAGCCATCCGTTTTAGCACAGTGAATAATTGAATAATAAAGTTTTTTGTTTTCAAAATCAAAGTCAATCCTTTGTTCAATTTGGACCTGTTTCAAGCTCTTTTGATCATCAACGCTACAACGTGTTTATCAAATTAGACTTGGCAGAAAAGATTTGGCAAGATAACTTGTGGTCTATGATTTTGTACGAAACAATATTACCATAAAGCCGGCAGTAACCAACCTAGCATAGGAGGAGCAAGAATCAATTCTAATTATTTATCTATCTAATAATTCTATTTTGTTATCTTTTTTTATAAGACTAAGTTGTAGACGTTGCGTATTGCTTTTCTTTTAACACGATTTTTATGTCTTGACCGACAATTCCAAAGCGCCACCAAATGGCAATTTGTTTTGTTACCTCGTCAGTTGTCTACCTGAACTTAAGTATTAAAGTTAGCAAAACTTAACTTTATCACGCATTGTCTATATATACCTATTGCAGTATTTACTGTTTAACATTTTTAGAGCAGCGTTTTAAACTGTATATTAATTTCTGGCTCGTGAGGTAACTTGAACAATATATTAGTATACATTTAGTTTTAATTGAGTTCAAAAGTTAATCATTTGCAGCGAACAGATTTGAATCAACATTCAGTATTGTTAATTTGCTCTTATGTCTTTCTTCAAAAAATTCTTGATAAAATTGAAAATTTGAAATTAAAATTGATTTTAAGAATAAGCAATTTAATTATTATAAACCGAAGTTAATTTTACGGTACCTAATCTAATCTTAATTTCAGGTTTTCTTCAAATATTAAATCGGGTAAAACATGTCTTGAAGCAGTCAACAACTTGATGAAAATCGCACGCGCTTAAGTAATTCAATACATAACAGACTTAAACTAAGTTATTTTCATACAATTACGTTGCGTCTGCCAGTAAGGATTAAAGAAACGATCTTTATACGGGTTATGGGACAACGGCTATGAAATAGCGTAGCGATAGCAGTTGTTGCCCTTAGCAAAGTAATTATAAATTTTAGTAAAAGTAGCTGGTTATCATGATAGCTTATTTCAAATTTAATCTCACGATGTTTCGAATATCTTATTATATACACCAGCATTTATGGTCCCGAGAACGAGCAGTTAGTGAATCCACCACAAACGCGCTTAAATCCGTAAGCTATATTTTTCACATGTCCATTATGCAATATTACAATTAATAATGATTCTGCCACAAAGCAGAAAAGATTAAATTTACTCTTTATTTAAAGCAAAAGGTCATATATTCTTTGTTCATAAATTGGTAAATAAGAGACTAATCGTTTCTATGACGTCATGACGTCAAAAAGGCAATAAATCTTTAAGCCAATGCTCGCTAATTTATTTGCGAAAAGAAGTAAATCGGTATCTTTTTACCTAAGGGCTCTTTCCATCTGACGCCGTAATGCTAATCTAATTGCCGACCCCTTCGACTAAGATTAACCCCGAAACGTGAGCCGCAGCCCTCATTTGACTAATTTTTACAACCCAAAGATAGGACAAGAACGCGTGAAATTACATTAGCATTTTTTATCACGTCCTCAGAGTGAGAGTGTTAAGCGCATTCATGAATAATAATTTGAACGTTCCACTGTTGAGAATGTTGAGAACAATGCTTACATTGCAGGAACTCGAGGAGATACTGACTGACGTCACAACAGCTGTTAGCGAATCTATATGCCAAGGTGGAGAAATTATAACAGATAAGGTAACGTATCTTAATGAAAATAAACGTTTTAAATACTCAGAACTAAGATCTTATGGAAAGTAAGTGAGCTCTCGCAACCGCCTTCCTTAACGAGGTCAAAGCTAGAGACATTTTAACTCACCCGAAAACGCTTTACAACAAAGACTTAGAATATAACTGTGGAGTGGATGACAGCGTTATAAGTCAGCCATGAAATTCAAAACTAGAAAAGTTATAAAGTCTAATGAGACATAATATGTACTTCAAAGTCGATTTCGCAAAACGACACTAATGTTATTAACAACATAATATCCCATAAGGGCATATGGGGAAAGAACCCAATCCCCTCGGAATAGAGGCAGCAGCTTCGTGCTGGACGACTGGGCAGACTCGTCCGGGGAAGTACCACGGCCGCACAGAGACCGGCGTAAAGTGTCAGTTTTACACTTTCGCATTTTGTCTGATGAGTGAGGTGACCCACATATTTTTTAAAGCTGGATGATGTGTCTGCAACTCCCCGGGCATTATAGATGTCCATTGGTGGCAATAACCACTTAACATCAGGTAAACCGTCCGCTCGGTTGCTAACTTTTCACATTAAACCTGGCCCCATACAGTGCAACAATCAGCTTCGCCGCTACGAGTCCTTGTGCGCCCAGTCGCGAGCAGTGTCGAGCACCGCCGACCTGGCCCATCTGGCCCGCACGCTGCTAAATTCGCAGCCGCCCATGCGGAGCCCCAAGCGCGCGTTTCTGCCGCCTTACCCACCAGAGCCCGACGACCCACCGATCGACGTGCCGGCGGTAATTAACCTTATTTTGGCTGAAATGACAATCGTTTAAAACTCCTTCGCTCTCCGCCGCAAAATGACGGTGTGCATGTAAGGAAGGTATAAGACAAATATATTACGAGACACGCAAAGTCGAAGAAAGCAGTGACACACTTTTCTTCTACAATAGCCTCGGAGTTATCGAGGCCATTGGCTGCATTTTCGTGTTGCAGGTATTGTTGCGAACATGAACAAAATCAATTTATTATAAATTTCATAATGTGGTCTCGTTAATAAGTACACTTTAATTAACATGGCGCGTTCTTTATAACCACGGCCTGTTTACGCTATAACATTAAATTGTTAATGCTTATTAATAAAACTCAGGACAATTTTAGCTACTTGTATAGGTAAATAGGTATATACTTTTTCAAGTTATTATCAATACGTTTACGTACTTAAACTTTAATCATATCTACTAAATCCAATATTAAAATCATACACACGGCATTAATTCTCAAACGCTTAATTTCTTTCTCGTTACAAAATAATAATACAGCAATATTACGTTCTACAAAGTGAAATTTCGTTTCGGTCCTTTTTGTTGAAAGGTCAAAACACTTCACAATTATTAGATAAAATGTAATTTTCATATAAAGTGCTACTATTTTATTGCGTTAACAATATCAAAAAAACACTCCAGAGATTTGAATGCATCGGATCAATGAATCGAATATATTCATTCGTTTGTGAAAATTCCACGGCCTTTACCTTACTTTGATCCTCTTTCTTATTTATCTTTTATAATTTTGCACCTTTTAAGTACGCTTGGCGTGTTAACTTCTCCGGTAAAAACTCTTAAAAAATGTAAATTATTGAAAATTATTCAAGAACTGAGTTAACAAATCGAAACTTTTTATAAGATTTAGAACTTCGATAGCGTCTTACAGTTGATAGAAGCACAAATGTTTATATAAACATTTTAACTCGACTGTCCCAATTTTACATTGTTGACTTTGCAAATACCGTTATCTTCTTTTTGTGAAGCATACTATTAAAATAAGAACATCATACAAAAACAAAAATGGATTAATATTGTCACAATAATACAAAACTCATGTATGCAAGTATCGTATGTTAAATCATAATTCAAAGAAAATGAATTATGGAGGAAGTGATATGAAAAGCAGGATTTATTACAAATGGACGATATTCATAATTCTTTTATATATACAACATTTTTTTCTATCGTCCAAAGAAACTAACTTATTTTATGTAAATTTGCATTGATGGGAATATTTGAATATTAATAACTACTATAAAACGATTACAGGCGGTTCCCTTGTTAAACCATAATATCATGATTGTTATACCATTTTATAACATGCTTGTCCTAGTCATACACATACACACGTCATACACAAAATAAAAAAACGTTAAATCAATTCACAAGGATAAGCTATTTGATGACTACGTGGCGCAGTTGCCAAGGTATTGGCTTCGGCGTCGGGGGTCGTGGGTGCGATCCCCACACGGGACAACTATTTGTGTGACCCACAGATAGATGTTTCGCATCTGGGTGTTTGTCCGCGTGAAATTTATGTTTGTCAAACGTCCTAACAACACAGGATAATGTTATCCCAAAGTAAGGGTAATGTTTTAAAAAAAATATGTTACCCTTCTCTAGGAGACGATGCCTCCAGTACTACGCGGGGAGATGCTTCTTGACCGTATGGATATACGAGAAGCGCGTCTTAACTACGACCAGTTGAGGAAGGACGCACAAGATCTTGAGATGCAAATAAAACAGTTGCAGGTTGGTTAATTTTTTTTTTCACTTCACTACATAGTATAAAAAAGTCGTCCCGCTGTCTGTCTCTATATATGCTTAGATCTTTAACATTACACAAAGGGTTTTGATGCGGTTTTCTTTACTAGATTGAGTGATTTAAGAGGAAGGTTTAAATGTATAATTCCTGCATAATATAGTAGAGAAATACTGATAATTTTAGATATTTCTAATGTGATGTCGAAAACAAATATTCAGCATTGCACCCGTGCGAAGTCGGGACGGGTCGCTAGTAAATTAATATAATAGCGAACATGCGACAGTGTGTTGTCTTATGGAAAGTTCTATCAACAAAACGCCACGATTACAATTTCTTTGAGGAATTGATTCGATTTAATCAATGCAAAATATGGTAATAAACTCGTATTGTTAATAAATTATCATAAAATTATCTGTACTATACGAGATTCATAGAGATCATTCATGGTTAAAAGTGCGCAATGATGGAATGCTCTATTGCTGGAGGTGAGACGTGATCAGTCACTTACCACATGCAAACACCTCGTCAAGACTCACTTGTCACTTTAATTCTGGTTTATATGATTATTATATTTATTAGTATGATATATTACATATGCCCATACAAAGGTTGTCTGGAAGATGTTGCCTTATTTAATAAGGCCGCCTTATTTACAACGCAACTACAATACAATTAATGTTATCTTTTAATGTATTTTTGACATGGTGTGTGCAATAAAGATTATTCATCGTAAAGAATATTATCGGGGGTGGCCAACATTTTGCTACATAAGCTCTACTTTTTATTTTAAAGGTATCATGATTTGTCTTTTTATTCTCATGATCGTTTGTTTAAGTTTGACTTATTGGCGACCCCTGGAAATAAAATTTTATCTCCCATCAGAACATATTTAAATTTTTCTGTTTTTGCAGGATGGTCTGGATTCATTAGTTCGAGTACAGAACCGCAACCTGGAGAGCAATATTTACGGCAAAGTCAACGAGATACAGGTAATTTATGTAACTGCTCCTTCCTAAATACAACAAGATTTTTAATAATATATATTACCTCAAAATCTGGAAACGCAGATCATCTTCCGTTTTGAAATCATATATAGCATGGTTAAATTCGGTTAAATTATGTTACACAACTTAGGCAGTTTAATTACAAATATTGTTCCACGCATAATATTATTTCTGGTTTTAATTACAATATCTATGATTAAATTATCTATTATATGATTATCTATGATTAAATTTGTAGATCTTTGGAATTCAGTAAAAACTGAAATATTACAGTTCATACCTATAACACGCGACTAATCACCATAATTGCTTCTATAAAGAATTTGTAAACATAATCATTTTTCAATTAGGATTACCCGTGATCATTTTTTTAATAATATGAAGTTTAGTGAACACAGTTCAGTAAATTTCTAACTTATATGTACCATTAAATACATATACATACATACATTCCTCCATTTGCGCCGTGTGCACGAAGCACCACAAAATACCATTGCCATTAGCTGGGTATGATCTCCCCAAATTAGGCCGAAAACACCTTTATAGTATACGTATTTGCTACACGCTTCACCATGATTGATATCTAGCGCGTCTCAATACATTTTGTCTATAAACGTCATTCCCAAGACAAAACGAACTAAAGAAGACACACTAAAGCTAAAGACGACTTCGTACATAACTGAACAGGGCTTCACTTTCATTCATTTAACCTACACTTTACCAAACACTTTAATTTTCACCAAGTACATGAAATTAAATTAAATGAGTAACAAAAACTTACTAAAGCGAACAATGTACTAGATTTTGCGTTAGGTTGATTGATTTGCAACCAATATTTTACTAAAACTAAATGTATAAGATTTACTCTGTCATAATTGGGTCACAAAATAGGAATTATTGAAGAGAAAATCCACCCCGTTCAGGATTCAACAGCTTTTCTTGGAATGTGCAATAATTGAAAATTACAGTTAGGAATTCCCATTGCAAAATTACCAGAAATTAGTTATTTGCCATACGTAAGATGAGGTAATAATCGAGAAGACAGCTAAATTAGTTTACTTGGCTCATTTTAATAGTATTATGTGATATGGTGTTATACTTTCGGGTTCCATACAGGGTATATACACAATATTTGTATTATAAAAGCAAGCAATACTGCATATGGCTTGGATCCACGTGAGTTATTAAGACATCATTATAAGCAAATAAACATTTTAACGCTACCGTTTCTGTATAATAATGTCCATCTTTTTACAAGAAAAAAGGCACATCGCCACGTAGCCGTGATGACAACAATCTCGAAGTACAAGTGTAGGTATCAAGATTTAGGCTGGCTAAAATCAAAAATGCGTTTCGTGGTAATCTATTAACTTATAACTATTTATTTAAAAATGTACCTTCTACAAGTATAAACAATTTCAAACATTTTATAAAAGCTATCCTAATGGAAAGGACCCATTATAATGTTGAAGAATACATTGAAGGACGTTGGGAAATGGCCGTGCTCAGCAATTGCAAGTCCCCTGGCTGCTGTTGATTTTATATATTTAACAAATCTTGTAGATATCTATTTCTAGAAATAAGATGACAATTGAATAAAGAAATATTGACTTTGATAAATCAAATTGAAATGAGAGATAAACGATACGATCAAATTTATAAAACTGAACGCCGTTATTACTTTTCAAAATTAAGTTCAAAAATAGTATTATAATATAAAAGTAAAAGTATAAAATAACAAGAATAAAATTTCTTCCATAATTAGAGCATCATGTTGAAGAAAACATCGGGATCTAAAGAATATTCGTAAATAATGAGCTCGTGTCATTATACATGTTTTGCAAAACGGAAAAAACAAAACAAAGCAACTCATTAAAAGTTTATGCCCTGTAACACCTAACAATAAATCGATGAAAATTTTCAGCCCCGTGAATTTTAAAAAGGTCTGAGAAATAGGTTGGTACGTAAAATTTTTGTTTACAATCGAAATTAAGCTTCGGAACAAAAAAATATTGTTGTAATTTTATCTAGGATAATTCTGTGTCCTCCCATAAATCTAAATCTGTTTTTTTTACCCATAAATCTAAATTTTATTAAAAATTGTACAGTTAAAAGTTCGTCTAATGTAATCAAACAATAAGGAAAAAATTTAGGTAGATCGTGAAATTCTAAATTTCTTAAGTTTTCATAATACAATAGAAAAACAGCAAAAATATAATTAAACCCACACTAACAAAATGTTTACTGTTTTATAATATTTATTACATAAAGCTTATTACCAATAACAGAAAATGAGCAATTCTTACATGAATATTAATTCCAACTTTAAAAATTATACTTCTACTACATAGTAGAATCTACTAGAGTATCAAAACACTGAATTATTTTTTAAATCTCTTTTTCCTACGTTGTACATGTATTACAATACGTTTTAAGCGACATCTATCTTTTCGCTCACAGAAGAACAGAAAAATATACACTTTTATGAAAGTAGAACTTGTTTCAATACAAAAGCTCATAGATGTCATTGTGTGCGTAAATACAGATATAAAAATAAATTATCGCATTAATCTGAAAATTAATAACAAGCGGAAATAATATTTAAAAAATGCAATATCTTATAATATTCCATTTTTCTCTTTATTTTAAAATATAATTTAATCTAACAGATCATGCTACTCTCATCGTCTTAGCAAGCTTATATGAAAATAAAAACAAAAACAACTTTACATAGATCAATTAAAGCCTCGCATCTTATTCCTAAGTTACCAATCCATTATAGCAAGCATCCTGGCAGAATACGATGTAGAATTTGAAAGGACGATATTACAGACTCCAGCCTCCAAAAAATTATGTATTAAATTAGAACCATCTCTTCTCTCCGGTTCGCTACCAACGAATTCCATTATTGGTATACATCTTCCTTTGTATTTACTTTAAACGGTGAACTCGTTTGTATTTATTTTACTTCTACTTGAATTCTACTTGTCCCAACAAAAAAGCGAATTTGTGCAAAAGGTTGTATCCAGAGCGAAGTCATTGATATTGTAAACTCACAGTATCAAAATGTAAACCATGTTCAAATTTTAAGAAACTCGATATATTTATGGAGACATATACATATAATCTAAGGTTATGTGAATTACTAGAACCAATTCTAAATGGAAATTATTTTTTAGGAAGAAATTTCGTTGAAGAAGTACGACTACAGGGCAACACAGCTCCACCTAGCTGCAGTCAGAGCTCAGGTAAGTTGATCTTACTGGTAGGTTTTCATTATTTTTAAATAATACTTCAATGTCACGCATTGACCACTGGGTACAACATAACATACATAACAAAGTGAACGATGACCAGGGGAATAAAGAAAAAATATTTATACTTAAGCCTCTCTTCCCGTGATTAACGGCCCGTCTTTAATTCTGGGAAAGTACTCGTAAGACTTTAAAGCTCCAGACGCCAATTCGAACATCGAAATTCGAAAAAAACCCTACTTAAAAAAACTTAAAGAATAACATTTGCTGTTTTATGGATGAGTTGCGATGAATGCTTTACAGAAGACCGTATTTATACGAGTATCTTAGCACTATAAGAAGATTGACAACACTACTATAACTCAAGTGTCGTGTCTGGCAGGTAAGTCGGCCCTGGAGCCAGCCGTTTGCCATCTCTTCTGAAGAATAACACGAATATGTTCACATAAAATTTAATAAATTCTTGTTGAAACAAAGACCACATAAATGCACGTATAACATTATAGGATTTTTATGTATACATAAAAATCTAATGATATCGTCGTGAATTCATTAAGAATTTAAGGAAAAACGAATAAGTTATCGCATGACGTGTAATTCTAAATGTTAGTTGGTAGTACCCATCAATAACAGACGTTTCGAAACATTGAAAACTTTAAATTATATTATTCGTACAATCCGTATCAGCTCAGTATCCGTGGCGCTCGCTTTTAATTATCTAAGTGTACTCGAGCAGTCTGACTTCAAATACCTGCGCTGGCAACAATTTTAAGTGCTGGCTCATCACGTGTTCGGCAGTGATGGAAAACATCTTGAGGAAACCTAAATATCTTCTTAATAATAATAAAAAAAATCGGAGGTATGTGAAGTCTGCCAATCCGCAGTACGGTCGAATGTTGGACAACGCTCTAATAATCTGTGTACAGAGGAGGTCTTCTCCCAGCAGTGAGACATATTATACATTATACATAGGTTGTCACTTTATAATATTACGTCGAAATCTACAGCATGGCAAAGTAATTACAAATAAACGAAATCATGAACTTGCATTTTTTCTTATGTGAGACGGTGGCAAGCGAGCTGGCGGTTCACCTGATGTTAAGTGATAACCGCCACCCATGGACATTCGCAACATCCGTAGAGTTGCAGATGCATTGCCACCTTTTAATAAAGTGGGCCCCTGGCTACCTCAGTACCACACGAAACGCAGTAATATCGGTCGCATAATAAACGCAGAAGTATCGTCGGTTTTCTGTGAGGTCGTGGTACTTACCTGGACGGACCTGCACATTCGTGCAACACTGAAGACTTTTGCGTGGCCATACCACACTAATACATGATATTTCAATAACATAAATTTTAACAGAAGATATATAAGTATTCTGTTAAAAAGATCTAAGATTGTTTCTAGGTTCTAATTAACGCATGCGTAGTTTACGATTATGCGCACCTGAGATTGCTTGCCGCTGGCAATCAATGTTTTAAACGATTGGCGGTTTTCTTATAATTATCTATAGGTACTTGACAAATTATTTTTATACAGTTGTATAATATTTATTAAAACCAAAAATGTTAGCCTTTTAACTGTGTAACGAACACGAAAGATATTTAACTATTATTCTATGTAAGTATCTAATTAAAATTGACCTTAATGACAAATCGAGACAATATTGTTTTTATCTTGAAGTTACTATCGAGATTACAATTAAATATTGGCAAAAAGCAAGGATATTTTAAACGAACAGACAGTGCCGCATTGCGCACAGCCTCCCTCGCACCCTCAGTCTGAGAAGAGATCTCGCGGACTAACATTAACATAACCTACGAATCCACATTTGCAGAACTCGACAATTCATTAATAAGACTATTTTTCCGTCCAATTTCTTAAAACTATAATTCACAATTACGGATAATAAAAACAAAACAAAGTTTCGTGTCAAAATGGGCTGGATATCAATGAAAAATCATATGGTAAGTGACGTTTATAAATCCATTTCAGTTTGTTTATCAGTAATGGTATTATAAAACGTGTTTTATTTGCTTTTATAATTATTTATTTCAACTTATTCAAATAGCTTTACGACAGTAAATAATAAGTTTAGGCAATTAAAAGAAATAAGATTTCTACAAAATTTTCATGACATTTGCAGAAAAAAAGGTATAATTACCAAGTACCTACTTAGAACATTAATGTCCAACAATTTAATAATATGTACAATTAAAGAAAAGTAGTTTAATTCAACTAATTAAACCACTTTTCTTTAATCACGCACAAAACCAAGTAAACAATGTCAAATTATAAAACAATTTAGGACATTTACATAACCTTTTTCTCCATAATTATTTTAAAATATATTTTTAAATTATGATATATTTTACTTTTCCAAGTTTTCGCAAGTGAATACAGATTTCCCGCGTTGTGTGATGTGCACGCTACGACGGATTAGTTCGGAACTATTTCGCGTCATGCATGAAGGCTACTTGTTGTAGTATTGAGTTGTGGGTGTTTGTGTTTAGTGTATAGATTTATTAATTGTTGACAAATATACAGAAACGCTCGTGTGAAGAATTAATTTTTAATCAAACGACGCTTAAAAAGGTAAGATAAACTTTGTTAGTATTTGGTTATATAATATAACACGAAACGTAAATAACTTATTAATGCCCATTTTTCCCTTTAGTCTAAAGAATTCATCAGAGATTACAAATTTTAGTTTTTTACAACTTAAAAAAAAATAAAACATTGAATGACGAGATGCAAAAGGAAATTTAAGCATAAACATATTATAACCTCAAACGAATTTTTATACAAAAACATTTTTTTACAATAAATTAACTTTAATGTTTAAACTCATGATTCTCGAATGCTCACTGAAATTATGAGTTAAGTAATACTACAAGAAATATTTAATGGGTTTTCTATTTGTCACAATTATCGCATATTTACATCCGATGTTTACGCGGGAAAGTGCAGAAATGTCCTAATCATTACATAATTCATAAAATATATTACTACCATCAATCAAATTTAGTCTTTTATTATGTACTTGGATACTTTTCTTTGTAATATTTTTTTTTTCCAGGTGTTCAATATAAGTCTATAAAATTTGGTTACTGTCGTACAACAGATAACACATTATAATGAAGCAAGTGACATCAGATAAAGCGTTCAAGAATAATCGTCACTTATCTGATGATGAAAATATCCGTTATAAAATTAATACACAATACTACAATAGTAAATCACCTACAAAACCAGCGAAGAAGTTAGAAAGTGCGAAGAATGAGGATGAAATAATTCGATATAAGTTGCCATCTAACCTAATAAAAACAAAACCTGATAAGAAATCAAAGTCAAAACCTAAAATAAAAGTTAATTTCTGGAGCAATAAACAAAGTACTCGATTACATAATACTGAAAACACAAAACTACGGCTGAACCGTAGACATACAGTTGTAGGAACGCCACATGACTCCTCCACAATAAAGACAAAATCCTCTGCTGTTAAAGTTCGAAAACGGGTATCTTTCTTGCCATCACCACTTTTTTCCGATAATCATGTACCAATGGTGACTGTGCCTGATGATCTAACAATACAGTTGAATGAAGAAGAAGCAAACGATCTGCGTGAAGATTTAAATCAGGCATTTGTCAATAGTACAAATGGTGCTAACAGTAATAACTCTACTGACTTACTAAAAAGAAAAGGAAGAACATCCTTACCAACAATTTCAAAAAATAATAAACGCAAGAGAAGTCCAGATAATGTAGAACCTCGTAATCAAGCTAATGAAAATGAGCTTGAATTTTTTTCTAAATATGTTGTCCAAAAACTAAGGAAAATGGAAACAAATCAACGTATTTATTCTGAGAACTTGATAAACACTGTACTTATGCTAGGACAACTCGGTAAATTAAATGGCAAAACAAAAATTTCTGAAGTGTAACAAAATCTGTTGCATCCATTGCTGCCGTTCATTGTTTTTCTTTTTCATTGATCTTGTACTATTAAATATTGTGCATGTCAAGGTTAATCTAAGTGCAAGGTTATGTAAAGAAGTTTATGCATTAGAAGTACATGACATACTGTTGTAACAACTTTTGTTTGAAAATAAACATATATTAAGATATGTGTAATAAGTAAATTAATAGGTCTATGGACCAAAATTGTATGTGTGATTTTTTCTCGTTGCTAGAATACTAAAACATTTTCTATAAATACATAAATACTTTCAATAAACACTGTTATGTAATAATACAATAATGATAATGAGCTGATTAAGGTTATGCACAAGTAATGTATTGTTTTGTATTATAATCATATGTTTTTAATGTTGGAGTTTAAAAAATTTCATTATACTAGTAGTCAATATACACTTGCATCTTTACATTCTATTTATCTTATATATTATACTCATGTTAAATCTCGTCAATGAAACATTATGTATTTTGATGGAAATAATAAAATTTACTTGCAATTAATTTACAATTAAGTAGTTGAATTATAACATATTTTTGTACAGAAAGTTTATCTAAATATATATAAAAAAAATATATATATAAAGCCCCTTTGGTCACATTACTGTGATTCATTGTTGGGAGTAAATAATCGATTGTTGTTTATATTTGGAAAAATAATTAAGTTAAAGCTAGTTTATAAATTTGTCAGCTTCTTGAAGGTTTTGTTTGTAATGGTTTATGTATTGGCCTGAAAAGGGTAGAAATGCACAATTAATGTTAATGATAAAACAATTTTTATGTATAGTTTATCACTAATATCATGTTACTTGTTTTATTGTTTTTATTTGTTTTCAATGTTTCATAACATTCACTCAGACTTTTCTGTATAATATAATTTTGAAAAACTAAATTGTAATATTTGAACACACCATGAAACAAGACATTGAAAGCATTTTTATGACCCTTGTTAAATGACCAAAGTGAAAATTATTTAAAGTGCTTAATAAATCTTCAACTTGTAAAAAAAATGACAACATTGTAATTAAATAACTGTAACCCATGCACATGTGTTTCATTATAACACAATTATGTAAATAAATTAGTATACATTTTTCTTAGTTTCAAACTTTTTTTGTTTATTAATAAGGCCAGTTGGTGTTAAAAATGGAATATTATATGAATACCTGAATTCTACCTCTCATTCCTCCGATTCAAATTTGATAAACAGAATTTCAATAGTTTTTTCACCTTTTTTACCTACGACAGTAGAAGGACAATGACTAAAAAAGTTAATAAATGGTAAATGTTAATATGTGAGCAAAAGCCCTATTCTTTTTTTCTTTAAATATTTAGTATTTAATAAATTATTAATATTTAATACTAGATAATACCCGCGACTTACTTTCGTTACTTAGTATATTAATAAAACACTGCAAATACACATCACATTGTGGTTATAAGAATCGTTGTTTCTTACAATTTTTACGTTACATGAAGATATCACACCATATTTAAATCTGAGGACCAAGTGTCTAAGAAACAAAACTAGAATTTGTTTTAAATCTATCCACTATTTTTTACGTGATACGCGCACAACGTCATACCCATCACATTATTTAAGTATACAGCATGTCATTACAAACCGCGACAATAAATGAACACACGTCTAACGCTACTTGCCAATAATCGTAAAAAATATAAAACATTAAAAAACCCATAATTAAAAAAATATATTTTTCAAACAAACTAATTAAATAAAAAATGAAATAAAATTTGAAACATCCTATATAGAACTACAACTGACTGATTCATACATTCAGAGACTTTCATTCGTTGCCACAACGTCGCATTACAAGTCTCTCCTACAAACAATATGTTTTGTCTCTTTTAAATTTATTCAACCCATTCATATGCTTTGTGACCTTTACAAATGAACATTACGTTACAGTTTTATACGTAAGGTTGTTCTAAAAATGTTTTGTAAAATTCGCGTCTTGCCCACATTGTTGTAGGGTGGCATTCTAGATTTTACGCTTCTCTCTAACGAATCCTTAGAATAGTTTGTTTGATTCACGTACGTACTGAGCGAGCACTGAGTACTATCCAGCATTAGAATAGAGGGGGCAAATGGCACAACAAATAAGTCTAAAATTTTTCTGCTATACCAGTCAGGAGTGATATTCTCTTTATCGACTACCACCAACTCAGTAAGAGTTCCTTAACATATCCATCCCCACACCGTAGTAAGCCGCCGCTGTATTCCACTGTATTAAACAAAATACAGTCGAATTGAGAACCTCCTCCTTTTATGAAGTCGGTTAAAAACTTTCGTTTTTTTTTCGTCTTTTTTTTAAATAAACTGAAGTTAACGCCCCTCTTTACGCCTCCATATTTGTTGCCTTCCATCAATCTTATTTCTAAACTCGTCAGTGAAGAACCTGTCGTGTAAGCAAAGTTCAAACGGCCTTTGTGGCGTCCATAAAGTTTTGGCAAGTACAAGCGAACCTATACCAAGCAAACTATACGCTCAATCACATCTCACTTGTATTCCTAGAATCTCGCCAAGTACCTATATATATTGTTACGGGCTGGGGGTTCGGGATTGGAGTGAAACGCCGGTCGTTTAAATGTTATCTTTATTGTTGCCAACAAAGATGTGCACAGCAGCCCACTCAACACCGCTCTAGTCCTTACTAGTACTGCCGGTGCTACGACTCTCTCGTTTCGCACCAACCTTACAGTGACACGACGATGCCGGTGCGCTCTCTCTCGAACCCATCTCCACGTACGCGTCCCCTGGTGCAACGATCCACTCGTTACCGCAACAACCCACCGCGTTCCTTTTTCCTCGAGTTCCTCCACTGATCTGCCGCCTAGCGCGCTCTGAGCCCCTTTTATAGTCGGAATTTTGTTCCTTTTTTAAATAAAGTTCTGGAATTCGAACCTACTTTCAAATTACAACTATATTTTTAATAATTTAAAATAAAACCATATGCGTCGTTGCAGACTGCCATCGACGGATCGTTGACATTTAAGACTTCAACTCCTTTATCGTAACAATATCAAGCTTGCACCGCCGTAAGCCGTGTTCTTGTGAAAATAAATTCAAATTCAAATATCTTTATTATATAGGAGCATTACACTCATTTATTGATAATCAAAATACTATCACAAGTTCGGAAAAGAAAACTACTGAACTGAGAAGAACCTGCGAACATCCATTTTTGATATACATTGTGTGACATTATACACAACTAGCGACCCTCACCGGCTTCGCACGGGTGCAATGTATTATACATATGAACCTCTTAAATCACTATCTAGTAAACCGCATCAAGATCCGTTTTAAAGATTTAAGCATACATAGGGAAGGGGACGACTTTGTTTTATACTATGTAATACATACCAAAGAGACGTTTACATTTCAAGTGACATTTTACCACAGTCACTCACTTGTTTTCCTTCCCGTAACCCCTCCACTAACACTTAAACCTTATTGCTATAGTATTAAAGTTCAAATTGACTTTTAAATATTATTACGAATCTTTTGGATGGAAATATAGAAAAGTATTGTTTTTAAACTTTTTCAGGCAATGTTTTAATTTTTTTCTTTCATAAGAACCTTCTCCTGATAATAACAAACACAACAAAAAAAGGGAAATCGGTCCAGCCGTTCGCGCGTTATGGCGTGATCAAGGGAAATAGGGATTCATTTTTTTATATAGATATAAAAAGTCCGATTGAAAGAGCCTGGAGCGATCAATCAGGGACCATTACCAGAGTGTGTTATCACTTAAATAATCAAAAATATTAACAGCCCTATAAAAATATTAACTTAGCACATAAACGTTCTTATACAACTTTTTTGCAGACTGCCATCGTTTTGAATTTAGCTAATGATACATTTTGAACGTTTACTGGGATTTTGTTGTAGAAACGTATACATTGCCCCATTAAAGATTTACAAATTCCACGTAGTCTACTTATAGGTTGACCCGAATGGCGTAGTGGGTAGTGTACCTGCCTCCTGCACCAGAGGGTGTGGGTTCGATCCCCACTACTGGAAAAATATTGTGTGATGAACATGGCGTTTTTCTAGTGTCTGGGTGTTTATAAAAATATATATGTATAATATGTATTTATTTACAAAAGAAAAGTATGTTTATCAGTTTTCTAATACTATATAATATACGTTTTTAATTTAGATTATTGTATTCGTTCTTTAATTGTGTTTGTATTTTTGCTTGTTATTCTTTATTTTTTTCTTAATTTTACAGAATTATTGGCTGTTAAATATTTTTACATTTATTATTCTCGATTATTCTTGTATTTAAAAATCTTTTTTTTGTATTATATTTTTCTTGTATTTTAAAACAATTCTATGTTACCTAATAAGGTACATACATCAGTATTTTATATAAGCTTTTTGTTTAAATGTGGAATGTACGTACGTAACTACTGCTGGTGTCCTTTTAATAAATACATAAATAAATTTGGTCAACGTGTAAGTATAACATGCTTTGAAATATAGATCGCAGGAGAAAATTTCTTTCTTTTTTGCCGTTAATCGTATTAAATCGATTCTTTTAATTATTATTAAGTATTCATTGCTTGATAATTAGAAAGAACACTGCAGTACTAACTTTTGTTTCTCGAAAATGCTTCGCGTTTTTCCTGAATCATCCTTTCGCCATCTGCATCCATTTGACTGTCAAAGGAGGATATCGAAACTTTGGGATTTACGACGGACTTTAAACCCGTTCGAAGAGTGATATACGCTCTCTGCACTACCATTATCTGACTGTAATGGGTACTTTCTTAACGAGACTTACGCCCGGTTTCTGAAACACTGATCATTCTGATCATTATGAGATCATTCTGATCAAATTAGAGATATTAATCATCCTTTTGGCAACTTAAATAACATTTAAAAAGCCATTTAACAGCTGATTAGTTAACTTCTACGATAATCAGTGTTTCAGAAACCGGGCGTTACCTTACGGTTGAACATCTGCGTAAATAGCAATGATTATATCAAGCTTTTTGATTTCTATTGTATGTAACATGTACTTTAACGTATTAAGTATTTTTTTTTTCTATAAATTATGCAAATGAAATTATTTTCGCTTATAAGATCTGAAAAAATGGATTTAAATGAAAACTAATTTCTTAAATATGATAATATATATTTAAGAAATTACTGAATTCCATATTACATTTTATTCTCGTATCACGCGGTGGCAGCATTTTCTTTTTTATGCAATAAGGCGGCGGGCGAGCTGGCCTGGCGATTCACCAGATATTAACTGATAACCGACGCCCGTGGACATTTGCAACACCCGTAGAGTTGCAAATACGTTGTCCTTACTTACCTTTTGATAACGTGGGTTTTTTAACGTATGCAATATTTTTGTTGAATTATTAGTAACAACATATTTTTTTTTTATTTTGCTAACCTTCAACTGGTGACCGAAGTTGAGTTTATAATTTTGTACTGGCTGAGAACATTGATTCACTATTTTCTTAAGGCGAAAGACTTATACGTAAACTCAAAAGCTAACATGTCTATGCTAAAATTCATACAATTCTTCTAAAAGAATTAGATAATCGTTACTATTGAACATCCTTTAATAACAAGTACCTGTATCGTTAGCAGCGTATGAAATTCTTACATAAATTAAACACAGAACGAATCACTAAACTTGAAACGAAATAAAATCTGAGGAAGATTCTCAAAAATTGCAACATCTCGGGTACAGAGTTGCTTGCCAATTTTACTCTGGCGATCAAATATTTGTGTACCCAAACAAATATTGGTTTCGGTTCGGCATGAATCTCGGACCCTGCGATATAAATTCTTAGCCAAATGTTTATCTTTCTATTTGTGCGTGAGTTACTTTTAAGTTCAAGAGTGATTTTCATAATAACTGAGTGTAAAATATAAGTACATGATAATATAAATTTTCATATTATCTTTGCGACCGGCCGCTTTATCGAAGGTTAGTGGATGGGTGTGTCCTTCAGACCCATTTACATATTTCCACACGCGTGGTTTTTAGAACAAGTCAAATTATGTTCAGTTCTTTAGAAAGTAGTACCTTTGTCTAATTATTATATGTTTAAGAAAATATGCTTATTACTTACGTTAATTAATCGTGGGCTTATTTATGATATATAGATTTAGGTAAAACCTATTTGCTTCCACTAACTAGATTAAAAGTATATTTGTTTTAACAGATAGATGAACAAAGGATCTAGTTTTAAATATATCGCTTTGTAATTAGTACTTCTTTCTAATCGCGTTAATGAAGCAAATATCAATAAACAAGACAATATAAGGCAACATTTCTGGTCCGTGTATGAGTCGTTTGTGTCACGTTGGTCCACGTTGGTTGAAAGCAAAGAGTACTTTTATATATCCGGTTGAAAGTTCAGCTTAGCTTAACTTTTTGATACGCCAAGAGCTGCGTGTTGTTAGCAAACGGTTGCCGGGAGACACCAGAGCCGCCACATCCGGCGTTCGTCGCCAATCGCCATCCCCATCCATCAGTCGCGCCGCGCCTGCCCTAGGGGACGGGCGTTTGCCGCGCGGATTCTTCGAATAATCACGTGAATTCCTCCCTCGCACACCTTTGTTAGGGCCGGGCTTCCCAAAATGTGACTTTATACGAAAATGTTTTCAATGCTTTCCTTTACCACCTACCGCGAACGACCACTGTTAATGTTCTACGAATTTTAGTCTGTGTGCTTTTTTTACTAACAAAAGCGTAAATATAGATTTTATGTCGGGATAGTGTTTAATTTCATTTTAATTAGTTAACTACTACATTTATATTATTTCTAAAATCGATCGGCACCGTTTAACTGTCGAGACTAATATTGTAAGAATGGATTTAGTACATCGGTTGCATTATCTGGTCCTTTCCCAAAAGTCTGACCTTATGACAATGGAAAGGGATAAAAAAATGCGTATGCGGCGGCAGTCTAGCCTACCTGAATACAGTAAAGCCCATAAAACCCGCCAGCGATTGGAGCAAGCATATTTTAATGATGTAAGTGATTTTTTTTACATATTAGCTTTATACTAAGTCGCCAACTTTATAATTCACTTGATATCCGTGACTTCATCTTCATCAAAACACATTACTTACTGAACACGTATTGCTTATAAAAATCATTGTCTTAAAAACTTTAATAACCTCACATTAAATGCAAATATCACATTAAATATATTATATACATTAGATAAGCCCAGAGAGTAAGAAATACTCATTGAAATATTATATCCGTTCATTTTTCCGCTATTCGCGCAACTGCGACCTCTATGATTTGCATCACTAATAAAGTCTGCAAATGCTCTATGTATAAATCATAGAGCATTTGCAGACTTTATTAGTGATGCAACAGCATTTACTAACGTACGGCCACGTAGCAGATTCTACTGTTACACGAATTGGCCGGTCTAGTTTTCATGGCCTTACAGAATACCGGCGAAAAACACACGTACATACTCATTTTAAGGTAAGCAACCTCACGGATATTGTTTCCCAATCCGTTAGTCGTAGGTGCCGTCACCTACCAGCACTTAGTACGTTCCCCCGGAACTGGCGTAGACCACGACACGTTCTCGATTTCCCTGACGATGAGACGACTATCACCATCGACAGGATAAAGCAACTTCGGAAACACAAGAACACACCGCACTCGCCGGCGAGTGCGCCAAACATATACTAGATTCCGCCACATACCTGGCAGTTTTCCCCCGTTAATGATAGAAGCATTGCTGAAGTTTCCTTCCGCCACTTCTTCTCCCAGTGCCAACGCTTTCCGAAGTGGTAGTAACGACAGCTTTAGAAATCCTCCTAATCAGAACCGCTACAGCTACCGATCGAGTCGAGGTCCAGGCCTCTTGGGCACCCTTGAATCGGAATGCTAAACGGATACTGAGTAACAACCTAAGCCAAGGTCCTCTCTGGGGGCCCTTGAGCCTAGTTACTCCATGGAGCATCCGCCAAAGCCTCGGGAGCCCTCGAGGTGAGTGACCCATAATCGACGTATAGGCTAGGCGCCCTCAGCGCCAGGCCACCTCGAGCCCGGCGGATCTGTAAAGGCATCCCAAGGCCTACAGTGGTTGATCCAGCCAATAATAAAAAACAGGGTATTGTTTATATCCTTGGGCGGCGGTGACTTCAGGAGAAACGCCTACAAGTTTTTCACATTCAACCATAAAAATAAAATACATACACATTGTAGCTTAATTTAATAAATTAAATATGAAATATTTCGCTAATAGGAAAAGCCCTTGGTTATAAAATCTTTATAATTTCTAAATAAGATTGTTAGCAGATAGTGATGTTCGATCGAAAAAATTTCACACGCGTAGACAGACTGAGACATCGTCTCCATTGCGAAAGTGTTTTAGGCCGTTATTCCGTATTTAGGCTGCGGTACTTTTAAAATAAAATATGTTATAATTTGGTCGTTGATGACATTTTGCACAGAGCAGGTTACTAGCAATGTTATCTACACTATCAAGGTTTAGGTTATGTACTTAGATATTTTAAAATGTGAAGTTAATTTAATCTTCAGTTATTATCTTTCATCATTTTAAAGCGATAAACAAACACATGGATCACGTGGAATCTCCCGTTGTGAACGTGTCTGAAGCATCATTTTATTTTACTGTACAAGCGTTATTAATGATAAAAGCATCATTATTTAAACTGCTAAGCCTGGGTTAGCCCAGATTTCTAGACTGCTAGTTTTCAAATCATTTTTTTTAACCTATAGAGTGTTGCTTTAAAGGTAATATTAGTTTTATTTACATTTGTGTCATGAAAATATGACTTCTCAGCTGTAATTTCAACTAAACAACGTTGGAGAACAAGAAAATGCATTTAACGTTACAAAACAAACTCGTTTAAAATGAATGATTCGTTTTAATATTTTCTGTTTTCATTCCTTACTCCTCAATGCAAATGCAAAGCATTGTTAAAATAAATTACGTAATTTTCGGTAATACAAGTATACGCTTTTCCGTGTATTTGCCTACAAAAAAAGTTAAAATTAATAATAATGTTCTTATATGTCTCTCTGACGATTGAGGAGAATAAAAAGAAGAAAAAACAGTTTGACAGTATTGTAAGTTCCTTGCTACGAATATTTTGGAATAAATCCCCATTAACTAAGTATGGCCTGAAACTTGTGGAAAAGTGATGGAACCTGGATTTCTTATCTGTGTCCAATAATGATTACCCAAGTTTTTAATTTGTGCTACATACCTATCCGTTTGCAAAGTTGCATAGTCTGGCGATCGTCTACAATTAAAATTATGCTTGGGTTAAAAGTTATTTTATTCAACTCAGAAAATTAACTAACCTCTCTAATGCGTCATTTGAGTTGTATAATCACTATGAGTTGTAAGGTACTTAATTTTATATTTTAACGCTCATTTATTTTTCTTTATATAAATCGTAACACACCAGTGATATAATGAAGTAATAAACTTTCACAATTACAGAGTAATGCTCGGCTGTTACTAGCCAATATTTTTATATGAACGCTGGAATAATGGAAAGCTTTGGATATTCGTTCATACGAAAGTCCTAAATGATAAAAAGATTATTAAAGTGCTTACCGTACCCTTTCTTAATCCACTTCAAAGATTTGGTAATAAAACTTTTTTCTTAACAAAAAAGGCAACT